TTTCTCTCCAGGGAGTCTTCTGTCGTAATAAAGACCAAACCCCTCTGTTTCAAAATACCAACACCTCTCTAATTCCAGCCCCCCTGATCTAAGCCAAGTCCCCCACCTGCACGAGGTTCCCTTACAACCACAGTGACAACAAAACGATGTTTTCTCACATCATGAGATGGTTTCCAGACCTTTCCACAACTTGTAGCAGAACACTGATTACTCAGTTCCAGATTTTACTTAAAGCAATGTGACCCCCTCTCGGCAGATTCACCCATATTTCCAGCATTTAGAACCCAGAGTCACCCTGCAAGTTGGTAAACTATCCCCCGAGACACTGACAGCAGCTCACCACCCCCTCCATCTTAATGCACGTCTCACCATGATTGCTGCTCCACCAAACTCGATGTCCACAGTAAAATGTAAGGGTCCTGGAGACCTAGAGGATGCTACAGACAAAGGTCTGACGTGGCTCTCCGAGAGCCGGCGTGTGGGGCAGCAGCGTCAGAGGGGAGCCTGTGGAGGAGAGCACGGTGCAGCAGCCCTGCCGTCCATGGTGTGGACGCGGGTGCAGCGTTGAGAGTCACTCATGCACACATCCAGGAAGCACCCCACCTTCCACACTCCCATACCCCCCAAATGACTGCCAGACTTCATACTGCCCTAATTCCTGCATTTGGAAAACTGAGGATTGAGAAAACGCACTCAATTCAGTAATTCTAAAATGTGTAAAAGTAAGCTTCATGTTCCATGCTCAGAATCTGTTATTTCCCCTTCTCATCCTAGTTGAGGGCAGGCTCTACTCTCTGGCCCCAATCCCACAGCACAGCATCCCCACGCCAACACCTCGGCTACTTATGAATCAGTTGACACCTTTTACTTTTGGCTGAATCCCCAAAATGGCTAACAGTGATGTTTTTTCTTTCCCTTAAAGTAATCAAAGAAACATACATCATAACAACTTATCATGAACTACGCATGAACAGAAGAGGGGTCAGTGTCAGCAGAACTCAGAGGCTGCCTGCCTGAGAAGGTGAAGGAAGCACGCCCTCGAGGAGATGGACTGGACACTTCACAGCAATTCTCTCCATCCCTAACTAGGACACATCATCTCAGGCCTTTCAAACTTAGCAGGAAATAAAACACTTCATGCCATAATCAAATGAATCCGACTGCACAGAACAAAATGCTCCGTGAGGAGGACCAGCAGATGGCGTAAGGGCTATGTCACTGGACTCCCACGAAGTCCACCATGGTTTGAGTCCCGGCCCTGGCGGCTTAAACTCACACCAGGCGCGTGTACATGCGTGCCCAAGATCCCGAGAAGAGAATGGAGGAGAAGGGATTGCGGCGTGGCCATCGCCCCTTGGGGGTGATTTCTCGCTTTCTGTCTCTCTGTCTCTCTTCATCTGTCTGGCAAGCGCATGCTCTCTATAGCAAAAACCTCTCCAAAAAAAGAAAGAACAAGAAATTGAAACTAAGACAAAACAGCATATAGTGCTGGAAGATTAAGATGACCCTTCCTACAGATTATAATGTATAATTAAATTAACAGTTAGAAATTTAAATAATATGGAGAGATTTTTGGTTGTTTTTGTTTGTTATGTTTTTTACTATAGGGTGCCGGTACTCACCAGAAAGACACAGAGAGACAGAAAGCAGGAAATCACCCCCAATGGGGGATGGCCACACTGCAATCACTTCTCCATTCTCCTCTCGGGATCTTAGGCACACACACACATTTGCCCAGTGTGAGTTCAAGCCACTGGGTTCAGGACTTGAACCGCGATCAACTACATGGGAGTCCAGCGATGTAGCCATTATGCCATCTGCTGGTCCCTAGAAATTTAAATATGTTAACTAAACTGACAAGTGAAAAAATTACTGGGGCTGGGCCTAGCAAGTGGCATGATAATTAAGGGTCTGGACCCCACGTAGCAGATTCGGTGGGTCAAGTTCTGAACCTAGCAGCCTGACAACTGTGTGGGGCATGCATGTGTGTGCGCACCTGATATGCCGAGAGGAGAATGGATGAGAAAGGATGCAACATCTCCCCCGAGGGGTGATTTCTCACTTTCCCTCTTTGTCTGTCTGTCTGTCTCTCTCCAGCAAGAACACATGGCCTACGGCACAAATCTAAAACAATAACCCCTGGGACAAAAAAAGAAAAATATCAATTCTGCACATCTGCTCCTGAGGAATGTCCTCACTCTGGGCTAATCAGATTCTCCACTGTCTGCTTATAACCAGATCCATGAGATTACTACACAATGTCGAGAATGTAAAACTCAACAGGGAATATTTCTTTGAAAACTTATTTTATCTTCTTAGATTTAATGCCCAAGTAGTGGTCAGAAACAGACTTACTTAACTCTCTGTGGGTGGTAGCAGACTCACCACAAGCCCCCTTCCTCCATGACTCTCTAAAAGGCATAGTGAACCCTCAAGAATGAGGACATTCTAATCTTAAAGAAAAGAGCACACACATAACAAGTTACTAAATTAAAATTAACTTCTGGGACCAGCAGGTGGCATGGTGGTTAAGGGCACTGGACTCCCAGATGGTTGACTTGACAGTGGTTTGAGTCCTGGATCCAGCGGCTTGCTTTTTCACTTCCCCTCTTCCTCTGTCTCCCTCTCTCCATCAAATTAAAAATGAATGAATGGGACCAGCAGTTAGTGTAATGGCTATTGTTGCTGAACTCCCATGCTTTGAGTCCCAGACCCGGTGGCTTAAACTCATGCTGGGCACATGTGCGTGTGTGTCCAAGATCCTGAGAGGAGAATGGAGGAGAAGGGATTGTGGCGTGGCCATCCCCCCTGGGGGGTGATTTCTCGCTTTCTGTCTCTCTCTGTCTTTCTGGCAAGCACATGCTCCCTATAGCAAAAACCTCTCCAGAAAATAAAAAAAAGAATGAATGAATAAATAAAATTTAATAAATAATTTTTAAAAATTCACTTCTAAATATTTTTCAACATAAATAAATCAACATAAAAACACAGATTAAATAAATCTACATCCCACTGAAAAATTATAGAAATCTTTATTACATTGTCTGCTGATTCAAAAAGGAAATATATTGGTGAAAACAAAAGTGAGAAAAAGACAAAGGGGGCAGTGGGGGCATGGTGACGAAGGCACTGGAGCCCACATGGTCAATTGTGGTTTCAAGTCCTGAAACTGGAAGCTTGAAAAGAGTCACATCGGGTGCATGTGCATGCCCAAGACCCCAGGAGGAGCATGGAGGAGGAGGAACTGAAACAGGGCCTTTCCTCCCTGGGGGGGGGGGTGATTTCTCACTTTCCCTCTGACTGTCTTTCTCCAGAAAGTACACGCGCCCTCTGACAAAAATCTAAAAAAAAAAGGCAAAAATTTCAAAAGAAATAATTAGTAAGCAAGCATGAGAGAACATTTAGATTCTCTAAAATGCATTGTTAATGAAATGATTTATATATGTAATTCTGTGTAAATAAATAATGCTGTAATTAAAATAACTAGTGGTGGAGAAAGTGAACTGTAATAGGCTTACTATTCTTTGAAGATAATGAAAACTAACACTTTGCAATACAATTCAGAAAATGTGCCTTAAGGGACCAGCAGATGGCATGGTGATAAAAGGCATTGGATTCCCACAAGGCCAGCCATGGTTCAAGTCCCAGACCTGGAGGCTTGCTTTCTCACTTTCCCTCCCTCTCTCACTCTGTCCCTCTCTAATCAAAATTAAGACAGATAGATAGATTACATTAAATAACATATTTTTTAATGTACCTTAAATTCATAGTCCTTAATTCAATTTATTTTCTCATCTGCGTATCTGAGGAAATTATTCTATCTAAAGACCTGTGCAAATTGTAATTAAAGCTTTATTCAACTAGTGGCGGAAAAATTGAAGTATCCTCAGAAAAGGGAATTTCAAAATATTCACTGGCAAGATATTTTACAACTATTTATAAGGGTTTTTTTTTTCTATGAAAAGCTGAAAAGTAATAATATATAAAACATGATTTAAAGAAAAAAAAACTACCTAAAAAGCATTCACTGCAGCAGTTGAAAGTAATTACAGAAATATGACAAAATTGTCAAGGTAGAACATTAAAGTCCTGCCTTTTTTTCTTTTTTTTAAGTTTTTTTCTAACGATGTGTGAGCTTGCCAGAGAATGACAGAAAGAGAAAGAGAGAGGGAAAGTGAGAAATCATCCCTTGGGGGAACAGTCATGCCATAATCCCTTCTCCATTATCTTCTCAGCATCTCAGACACGAACACACATGCACCCAGTGTGATTTTCAAGTCACTAGGTCCAGGATTTGAACCACAGAGTCAGCCATGTGAGATCCAGTGCCTTAACTTCTATGCCACCTGCTGGCCCTAAAGTCCTGCTTTTATATTCAGAATTTTATGCAATGTGCTTACTGTATTTACCTTTTAAAGAAAAAAATCTTTAAAAGTATCTTAAATAATTCAAGGAATCCCTAACATCCTACTTTTTTATGAGTTTTTAGAAAAGAATTATTTTATTCAGCTTTCTTTCTTTCTTTCTTTCCTTCTTTCCTTCTTTCTTTCTTTCTTTCTTTCTTTCTTTCTTTTTCTTTCTTTCTTTGACCAGTGAGGGAGGGAGGGAGAGAGGGAGGCAGGGAGAAAGGAAAGTGAGAAAGTAAGCCACCAGGTCCAGGACTCGAACCACAGTCAGCCATGTGGGATTCCAACACACCATCTGCTGGTCCTGACCCTTTCGTTTTTAATTTCTGGTCGTTGCTGCATCAACTCTACCCTGCTGGATGTTCATTTTGTCTGTTTTCAAGTCATTACCTCAATGTTCAGTGCTGCTTTAACCGCCTCTTGGTGTCTCAGCTAAGAAGGCCTGCCTTAGTTCTGCCTGGAAATCCACAACAGGGACTTGCTGCTGCTGAGACCGCCTTGGGTACCCTGGACACCTACGACAAGAGCACAGTACAACAGGTGAGGAAAGACGGCCTCTGCTCCGATCGCCATGTCAGAGGGGACACGGGCCTTATGCTGTCCTCCCTCAGGGGTGCAGCATGCCATTCCCTTGTGAAGAAACAAAAAAACAGCAGGAGCACATGCACGCAAGGAGGTGCAAGGAGCTAGTGGGTACTACCCGGTCCAAAAGAACCAAAACTTCAATAACTGTTAGTCCTGTAGAAAAACGAGAGATACCGTATCTATTAGTTACTTCCCCATCATGCTAAATAGAAATAATTCTTTCCCCCCTGGGGTAGAGGGAAAGATTTACTAGTGTTCCCACTGACACATTAAAGGCTTTCATTCTCCTTGACCCTTTTTTTTTTTAATTTATTTAGGGGGCTGGCAGCTTCTGTGGTGGTTGAGGATGCTGGACTCCTACATGGCTGACTGCGGTTCAAGTCCTGGACCTAGTGGCTTGCTTTCTCACTTTCCATCCATCTCTCTCTCTCTCTCTCTCTCTTTCTGTCCCTGTCTAGTCAAATTAAAATAAAGAAATAAAAAGATAAAATAAAGTTAAATAAAATAGTGCTTTAAAAAGAATTTATTTAATTTTATTGATTATTATTTTTTAATTTGACCACCGGGGGTGGGGGAGGGACTGGGAAAGCAAGCCGCCAGGTCCAGAACTCAAGTCGTGCCAGCCATGTGTGAGTCCAGCACCTCAAACACCACGCCACTGCTGGCCCTTCTCTTTGATCCTACTGAGTAGTCACTAGCAGAAAGAGAGCACTTCCACGGCCCAGGCTACCGAAGGGCTCTCAAACAAGGTAAAAAGATGGCTTACTACCAAGTGGGGCATTTCAGAGAAAAGCTCTCAGCATAGCCCTCTGGATCAGCAGGGGGCTTATTAGAGCATGAGAAGGAAGAGATAAGGAAATGAGTCTCCTGACTAACAGGGCAGGTCCAAAAAGGAGGGCGAGAAATCACTGACAATTCTGCCTTTACTGATAATAGAAAACATTAAGTAGCGGTTGGATCCTTGGAAATGGAGAAGTTTTTCCACCTTTTTCTTCAGTTTTTTGATGACATCTTTAATGTGCTATTGTAGAATTAAGACTTAGTTCTTGGTAACTTTCAAACCTCTGGATTTTACCAAGTGATAGGAATACTTGTTATTCAAGGACACAGAGTCACTGGGGTCCTTCAGGTCACACCAGATGATGGATCAGGACAGTTGCTGGCCAGATCACAAAGATCTAACAAAGACTCGAAATTTGGGGCTTTGATCCCCACCTCCTGGGAAGGGGATGGAAGATGGAGATGGAGTACAATCACATGGCCAAAGAACCAACTTAATGTGACCCAACAAAACATGGACATCTGAAGAACTGACAAGTGTCTTGGTGATATTCACATGCAGGGAGGACAGTGAATCCTGGAGATAGGTAAGTTTTGCATTTGGGAACCTTCCATGCCTTATCCCACAGGTCTGTGCATCTATATCCTTTATATTAAAACTAACAGTAAGTACAGCGGCACTTTCTGTGAGTCATTTTAAGGAATTATGAAACCTGGGGAGGCGCTGGGAACCCCAGAACCTGTGGCCAGATGTTCAGAAGTGTGGTGGCCTTGGAATCCCAGAGATTCATTTTGCTGAGTGAGGAAGGATCTTACGGAGGGACTGCACGCTTAATCTGTTAAGTCTACACTAAGCAGCTCCACGAACTAGTACCAGAACCGCATGGCACACCCCTTTACATTGCCCCACTGGGTTACTGGACATTGAACCCTAATTTAGCTTGGTATAATCCCACTTCTCTATCTTTGGGGGTCCTGCTCAAGAAGTCTTTGAGTACTCCTATGTCTCCTAGAGTCTCCCGAGTTTTCCAACACTAGTTTTAAGGTTGGCGGTCTCAGGGTTTGACCTCTGAACCGTTCTGAGTTGCATTTCATCAATGGTCGTCACCTAGACGCCCTCTCTCCCACCTCTGTCATCGGATGCTGTGAACGGCCACGTCTGCACTCTACCGCTCAGCGGCAGGCACCGCCCAAAGGGGGCCGCACCCCGGAGGGGAG